TTGAATGAATAAAAATAAACATGTTGTAGGTAAGTCAGCGACAACATCAGTGCCGTCAATCTCTATAAAGTTCCACGCTAATGCTGAACAACTTGAAGAAATCCACACAGATGATGATGAATCTGTCACCACCAGTTCCCATGACAAAGGTGACAAGTCGCCCAGGCCTTCATCAACTCCTGTCAGTATCAGTAAGTACGCTGAAATGTGCTTTTTTTTTTAATTGACATAAAATGTGAATGTTTCAGCTACCTGCCAAAACCCGATTATGAAAATATGCAATAAACGTGAGTGATTAATTTGACAATCCTTGATTTATGTTTCTTCTTTCTTCAGATGACTCGGAGAGCAGTCCATTGAAGTACTTTCCAAAACTAGTGAAAAGATCAACAAGTATAGATGTGTCAACGCAGCAACAAGATAAACAACTTACAGCAGACTCTTCACCATCATCAGATCCATGGAGGTTCTTTTCTGACATTAAGGTAACGCATGTTCACAATTATCATTTGCCATTTGAACGTCCTGTCGACAAAATTTTCTGTGGTGTTCTGAACATGTATTATACAGTTAAATTTCATTTGTAGGGTAAGATAACGAAAAGTGTAGAGGAGAAAATAACAGAAATAAAAAGTAGAAATCAGGAGGAAGGTTCTCCGCATCACAAAGGGAAGACGATATCCGAACTGAAAGCAACGAAGGATAGCAAAGAAAATTCGAGCGTGTCCGACTCTGAAGATCTATCTGAGAGTAGTATCTCAAGGACATGTGGGATGCTCTCCACTACTGAAGGTTGGTGTAATTATTATACAGCAAATACAAAATTTTAATATACAGGCTGTAAACGTTATGATAGTCATTATTTAAAGCGACTTTAAAGTAACATAGAATCTGACAACGCCGCAATGGCAGACGCAAATTACGATGGAGCGCAGTGTTAATAAAGATGAAGTTTGTTGTTTTTGGCTCTTAGGTATTATTTCGTTATATGATAATGTACTCGTAAAAGGCAAACAATTAAAAAACGGACTTACCACTAACTGTCTCAGCTCTTCACTTGGTGTGTGAAAGTTTATTGAACGTATTAAAAAAATCCACTTATAAATAGGGAACACAATTTTGATACACACATTGTTTTTCTCTTTAAAACCCACACTGCACTTTTTTTGTATTTAAAGAAGGTGTTCTAAGTGTCGTCCTCCACTTTCCACACAAGTTTCATTACGACGCACCCAGTTTCTTCTTACTCTAGGTCCTCGAAGTTATCCATTTATTGTTTCAGCCGCATTAATTTTGTTTTGGCGAAGTTGTGCGTCAGTTGTTATCGGACCAGCCCTATAAACCATCCCTTTAAGTTCTCCCCAATACCAGAAATCCATTGGATTGAGGTCAGGAGATCTTGCTGGCCATCTTCGAGGATCAGGACCATTTCGACCGATCCAGCGATTTGGATAATACTGAATGACGCCTCTAAAAATGTGTGGTGGTGCCCCGTAATGAAGAAACCACAAATTCTGTCTCCGTTGTAATGACATGTTATCTAAGGTCTGTTCCAAAAGTTCTGGTAGGTCATTGGCTAGAAAGGTAAGGTATCCTTCTCCTGACAACTTTGGGGGTAACTCGAAATGGCCAATTACCTGATCGTCAAGAATACCCGCCCAAATATTTATTTTAAAACATTGTTGGAAATGACCTTCAATGAGGATTTTCTTGGGCCCACGTGTGAGTATTATTTAAATTTATTATCCGGTTTCGCGTAAAAGTACATTATTCCGTCGCTAGAATGTTTTTAAAAAAATCCGGATTTTCAATGTTTTTGTGCAAAAAGCACTGTCAGAATGTTAGTCTGCGAGGATAGTCTTCTGGTAACAACGCCTGCACTCGTTGTACATGCTAATGATAAAGCAAATTTCCCCGTAGGATTCTACGGACTATGGTATGCGATAGTCCTACGCGGCGTGCTGATATCTGCATTGATTTCCACGATATTTAAAATTCGTTCCTCCTGCTCTACAGTAACCTGTCTTTCACGAGTGCGAATATTAGTGCTTCCTGTATATCGAAGTCTTTGGTACACTTGCACAAATGTCCTTCTGTCTGGGTTTACCCGTTGGCGAAATCTTGATTCGAGAACATTGTAAATAAACACGACGACGTACGCGAACAATAACTAACCACTGTTAGCGTTTGCGATCGATTGCCGGTTCGATAAGAGTGATGATCGCCGACGTGCTGCTGTCATGTGTGTTTTAAATATTCAATTTAATGAAACTTACTTAGCTACTGACTACAAATTTCGGCTTAACTTAGAAAAACTTAATGCCATTTATTTGTTAATTACCCAATTTAAAAACGTTCTAGATTAGATTATAAAAATTAGTAAAATTGTTGTGATTGTGGTCGATATAAAGCACTTAAAGTTGTAAAGTATAAAGCCGTTTAGACAAAAATGTATGGGTCATAAAAAACTTTTTGACTGGTTTTCACCCCCCCTATTACCCATTTCAATAATGACTAACTACCATAACGTTTACACCCTGTATTTTGAGATACTATTTTAATCAAGTCGGAGCATATAAACAAGTTTTAGATCACCATATATGGATGTGCGACTATTTGTCTAGTTAGCATGCGTTTCAACTTGGTTACCAACTGGTACTATCTGGTGTTTAGGCGTGGAAATGTCTAGCGACGAGGAAGACACGCCGTCGATCGATAGTAAGGAGGCAGGCGCCTCGACGAGCTTGCGTCAGAGATTCCGATTCCTTAGGGGTAGCGGGGGCGGCGTAGCCGTAGGAGGGCACAAAACTACGTCTGCATCGGCTGCTGCCGAATCCGAGGGCACAATCAGGGTGAAGGACCTCTCGAAGTTATACAATATCAACGCTGAGAAGGTGGAACAGGTGCTGCCAGAAGAGGAGGACGGCGAAGCCGGCGAAGGTGTCGAGAGCGCCGTCGATGCGTTGCAAGAGGATGACATCGAACGTACAGATATGGATACGGTTCACGTTCAGGTTGGTACACATAGGAAACGATACAAGTGCTCATTTTATCGTAATAATTATTTCATTGTCGTGTATTAAACATAGAGTTAACCGATAAGTATTTGCTATGTCACAAAATGTCGATATTATCCTTTGATCCCAGATGATATTAGTCACGAACGTCTTTTGTTATAGGTGAGCAGCGAATCAATTTTGAAAGCAGTTTCAGAAAAGTACGACAATATATATGTGGACCAGGAGAATGTAGTGACGGTGAAAGAAGTGACAGGCAGAGAGATCAGAGAAGATTTCCTCCTGAGTCGCGATAGAACGGCGACGACGACGGCAGACGAAAAGCCAAGGACGTTGTTTGCACCCACAGGATTCGTCGATTTCAGGCCGCTTGGACCACCCGTTCTACCTACTACAAATATTAACAGAAACAGCTATTTGTAAGTAACAAAACTATCGTTCCATCCTTCCAAAAGTAATTTTTATTAATAATAAATATACATTTCATGATCATAAATAGAATGTAAGAATATCTGGCTACTTATACACGGCATTTCAAATAAGAGACTTGTTTATACGATATATACAGGGTGTAAACGTTATTATTGAAATGGGTAATAGGGGAGGTCAAAACAAAAAGTTATATATATATATATATATACCGGGTGGTCCATCTATCGTTTTTTTTTTTAGTTACTGGTTTTTTGGGATATGTCAAGACTTATTTCGCATCTGATTTGACAGAACATCAGTCATATCATTCCGATTAACGAAAATGGTTGTGTATTCGCTTGAACAACGCTGGGAAATATTAAAACAATATTTCGAAAGTGGTGGTTATGTTGCAGATTGTGTCCGAAAATTACGTGCAAAAATGGGAAGAAATGAAGCACCGTATGTGAGGTATTTTGTGCAAAAAGTTCGTGAAACTGGTCTTCTTATTGACAAACCAACACGTGAAAGACCGAAAACGGTGCGTACACCCGAGAATATCGATGCTGTACCTGAGAGTGTGGCAGAGTCTCCAAGCACATCAACGCGCCAACGTTCTCAACAATTGAACATTTCACGCACATCATTAGGTCGAATTTTGCATAAAGACCTTGGTATGAAGGCGTACAAAGTTCAATTGTTTCAGCAATTGAAGCCAACTGACCATCCAATGCGTTTTCGCTTCGCTTCATGGGCCTGCAATCAACTTGATGAAGATGTTGATTTTGGTCGAAAAATCATCTTTTCAGATGAAGCGCATTTTTATCTTGGCGGCTATGTTAATAAGCAAAACTGCCGCATTTGGGGTTCAGAGAACCCACACGCAATCGAAGAAAAGCCAATGCATCCAGAACGAGTGACTGTTTGGTGCGGATTTTGGGCTGGTGGCATCATTGGCCCATTTTTCTTTGAAAATGAAGCCGGAGCAGCAGTTACTGTGAATGGTGAGCGTTACCGTACCATGATAAATGAATTTTTCTTTCCACAAATTCAAGATATTGATGTCGGTAACATCTGGTTTCAACAAGACGGTGCTCCGTGTCACACAGCAAACGCTACGATTGCTCTTCTGCGAAGTGTTTTCGGTGATCGCATTATCAGCCGAAATTCTGATGTTGTTTGGCCGCCTCGGAGCTGTGATTTGACCCCATTGGATTATTATTTATGGGGTGCCATTAAAGACCAATGTTATGCCAAGAAACAAGCAACAATTGGCGAAATAAAAGAGAACATACGCGCTGCCATTGCTGAAATACAGCCACATACGATTGAAAATGTGGTAGAATAACAAGATATTTTGTCCTATTTCAGATATTACGCGTTAGGTGTAGCTTTGGTATGCGTATACCTTCTGATGTACCAGTTGTCACCATTCTTTTCCGGATTGGCGTTTGGACTGATGATTTCCTTCTTGACGTTTGAAATCTACATGAAGCTAAATCCGGTTATTGCAAGCATTCCTGCCAAACAATTACCATCTACCAAAAAACATATTGACCCCAACACTGATAGAATTCTAGAAATACAGGCTGTGAAAGAGTATCAACCACTCTTGAAGTATGAGGTTGGTAATACTTGGATAACTTTTCAGTTTCTATATTTATTGTATTCTTGTATATATATATATATATTATTTTGAAGCAACGAAATTTGTTTAAAATCATATCGAATATAGTATGTACGAGTAATTCAATTTGTAGCCGTATTAAATAGAATGTATGGGACAAGAGAAACGAAGATAGTGATATTGTGATGATTTAAGGGTTGGGTGAACGAGTATCCGGAACCGTACGATCCGGAAACGTACCACATCTCGAAGACGCAATCGGTGTTTGTGCGATTGCAAGGCAACCTGTTGAGACTGAGCCATGCGAAGAACAAGGTGGCCAAAAGGGCGATGTGGAACGAACCGGAAATCAAAGCGATATTCACGCACCACCGCATCTACAACCTGATCGGTGCCGAAGTGCGCCTGTTGCCGCTAGGGCTGGCCAAAAAAAGGTATGTGCGTGTTTTTCTTTGTTTGTTGGAGATTTATTTAGCAGTAGCTGACCCGACGGACGTTGTGCATTCATTCATTTCGGGCCTGATGAAGTCAACCAGCAGAAATACGTATCATTCGGGTTACCTATCCTATTTTCTGCTCAAAATCGATTTTTTCATTTCAACGCAGAAACAGCATACCTAATTGGAAATGCTGAATTTGTATACGCTTCCTTCAAGTAAAAGTATGTCATGTATATATATATATATATATACAGGGTGACTTTGAAGTTGAGTCATTAATTTTCAGATAATGATTGTAGAAGGAATATAAACCAAAATATGTGTGTAAAAATAAAAATAAAAATTTTACCTTGTTTTATAAAGTATCCTCCCGTCAAGTATTTCAGTGCGGACTTGTATTTGATCGTGAGGTCTTAGAGGACCGGCATGCCGTCCCCTGTGAGGTCTTAAGTCACCTGATTCACGAGCCCGTTGTACTACATTAACAAAGGCACGAGGGGTTGGTTGCACTCGATTTGGAAACCGATCCGCATAAACATGTGCCATTTTTTATTTCGTTTGAGCCACGCAACAGACACCACTATTCACTCACGCGTTACCGACTGACACTGACTGTATACAACTGAATAAAATAATTGTAAAAACATCGTTCCAAATTCTTTCGCTTTTTTGTTTCCGATGCGATGAACATGCAAGCACATAATATTATTATTGAGACAGGGCGGTACTCAAACTTCCAAAGGGCTATAACTTTGTTACTTTAATTTTACCAGAAAAATGGTAAAGGAAAAAAACATTTCTTTTGATCACATCTAATCACTGTTAAAATAAATGACTCAACTTCGAAGTCACCCTGTATATATTAGTTATTATATGTTATTTTATTTTTATACTCCAAGTTTAGGTTTGTATTGAAATTTGTGAATGTTGTTATATGCATAATCTCATTGTTGCTATTACGCGTATTGTACAGTGTGTGTGTGTGTTGACGGTAAGTGTGATTGTGTTCATTTCAGGCACTGGAGCAAAAAATACCCGATCTGCATCGTTTTATCCAAAGAGCAACTCTATTTTGATAACCTTGTCACGAAGACCGATACGGAAAAAGAGAAATGCGACGATAAGGATAACAAAGAGAAGGAAAAAGATAAAGAAAAGCTGCTGTCTCCGAAAGAAAAGAAAAGTTTTGGTAGATTCAGAAGGAAAGATTACGCTAGTCTGGTAATATAGTACAATATACATATTTCGATGCTTGATATGTTGAACGTACTCGTTTGTTGCAGGCTCAACGATTTAGTAAATTGACCGAAGATGAAGATGTTGATTTGGATTCGGATTCTAGGGCCAGCACGCCATCCGCTGACGCATCCGTAAGCACGTTCCACATATTTTTTTTTTTTGATACCTGATAAGTCAACTTGGCTGTGATTAAATTAATAACACCTTATCGATAATTTTTTGATAATTCTTTCGCAGGACATGACAGATTTTCTAGCAAATGTTGATGACGAATCCAACAATCATCAGAAAAGTCCAAACCTTGACAGCTTGAACGAGGAATGGTCCTTGTGCTCACCCGCGAAAGAGGTAAACTTTATTAAGCCGGCGAATAATCCCATATAAATGCATATTATTTTTAACGATTAGGAAGCGACATCGTCAGAATTGAAAATCTACCTGTTCGGTAGGACTGACAGAGAGAAAGAAGACTGGTTCAGGAGATTGAGCACGGCCACTCGTAAAGAAGCGATGGACGACGATTTGCCCCCGAATAACAACAAGAATAACAATCGCTCAAAAGAAGAGCAGGCAAACGCTGACTTGGAATACATCAAGTTCATGAGCTTTTTCAAGGTAAAGCGGACCTAACAAAATATCAGATCGATCACTTGCGATCAAGATATTTACGACAACACATGTACAGTAGCGGACCAGAGTTTGGAAATATTCTTAGTAATTTTTAAAATGTGCGCTAATTTTTCATTCTTTATTATTAAGGGCTATTTTTTTTTCTCGTATAGTTTGATTACAGTCTTCAGGATACAAATGACAATTTGTTTCCTGTGGCACTTCAGACTACCATTAAAATACCTTCGTATTATTTTATGACCAAAAATGAGATGGGATTTTTTATTACAAAATTAAATACAATCAATCTACAAAAAGATTTAAAAATTATTTGGTAGCGTAGCATTCAGCAATCAACACTGCCTGACGTCTGCTGCTCAGAGAAGACACGATTTTTTTACAGACGTCTGTTGGGATAGTTTGCCAAGTATTTTTGTTACGTGGATTGCGAAGGCCATGTAAGAACATTAACATTTTTTAGTCTTAACCAGTCTTTTACGAATTTTGAGGTCTTTATCTTGCTGAAAATTCCACCGTAAAGGCATTTCTTCTTCAGCAAAAGGGAGCATGTGTTTGCAAAGTTTTTGATAAATTTTCCCAACAATTTAGCAACCGGACCCGTTCCAGAACTAGAAAAACAGCCCCAAACCATGATCTTGCCTCCACCGTGCTCAACTGATAATTTTTGTCGAAACGTTTTCGTATTGGACGTTTCACATATGCCGTACCGTCAGATCGAAACAAGTTCAATTTGCTTTCACCGCTCGATAAAAGTGTATTCCATTGTTGTTCTGTCCAGGTTGTTGATTTTTTGCAGATTCAAGCCGAGCAATACGTTTTTTTAAATGAGGATGCCTGCGAAAAAGCTCAAAATCCACCAAGTCTCTTCTACTACGAGGATCTTCATGGAACAATCGTTTAATGTAGCGATTCAAAACATAATCGGTTTTGTTCAGTCTTCCGCACCTGTGCCGCGTTGCTATTGATCCGTATTCTTGATATCGACAATATTAAGCGGTGATTTTTTGCTTTGCGTGAGAAAGTTCGGACATCGGACTCAAAGATAGCGTTTTTTTTTTCTTTATCTCTTTTCGTTCGAAAGTTTTAATTTTTTAAAATTGCTCGACTATATGCTACTTTTCGATACGTGTGAAAAAGTCACTTTGTTTTCCGGCTCTGTCCTCGCCTATTATTACTATACGTAAGCGAGTGAAAATTATATAGTTATCGAAAAATAACGATAATGAGCTGAGGAAACGATTCTGACCGTTAGAATTCCCGTCAAATTTCGAAAACGTAAACTTTGAGCGCCTCAAAAGTACCGATGACAGCCGTTTTTCGGCGTACTTTGTCTTCTTCGATACATACCTTCGTTACGGATGCAGATAGCTACGATTTTTTTTCGCAAAACGAAAGACCAAAGTTTCCTGACTAATCCGATATACGACACGTTATCCGATCGCATTTTTTAAACTCGGCAGATTAGAAAATTCAAAGATATGCACACATTCTGAGTGTAACGTTTGTATTTTGATTTTCGCTCGACAGTTGCGATTCCTGTTAGGCGGGGTATTGTAGGTATGATGATATTACGAAAGCTAGCGCGTGCTAGCGGAACGTCCAAAACGTGCCATTTTCGGCTTTATGACGATACCGCTTCATCCAATATTGGATCAGACCGAATAACATTGTCCTTTTTTACGCGTGAAAATAAACATTTTCGAATAGATTCAGAATTTCTATATTCTATAGTCTAAACGGTACCGGACTATACCTATAATCATAATAACAATCTAGTTTACTAATAATGTTCGAAATCGTCATTTTTTATCTTTGAGAAATGTCAACATTTCTGACACCACTTTCAAATAATTCAATCACTTTTCCTCTTAAACATTTCGAAAATTCTTCTACTTTTGCCATTCTCACTGATGTTAATATTTACCGCACGCAATATCAGAGTATCGCGTATAACGATTAAATACGGTAAAACTGAAATGTTTCCATACTTTTGTCGTTACAAACACTGAGGAATAAACAAAAACGCACGTTTTTATTTTTAGAAAACTTAAATATTGATAAGATAAACCTTGTATTAGTACGGGAGCCAAAGGTAGACTTTAATATTCATATTATCTGTTCCTTCACAATTTTAATTTAGGTATATGAAATACATGTAGTTCATAATAATGTTTTCTTTCCAAACTTTCGTCCGCAGTTGTATTATTCCTTTTAAAACCGTTCGTTTTAAAGTTCGCGCGAGGTCATTGCATGTGACTTGTTGCTATTGTAAGACGGCATTGTTTTGATTGCAAAATAGTATACAAAAACTATTCCTCCGTCATTGTCTGGCAAAAAAACACATAGACGCATTTGAAATGAAAAATATGTCATTTCAATTTCAAATACATGTGTGGCTCTTATTGCTCAGACAAGCATGGGGGATTATCGACATGTAATTAACAAACATTACATTATCCAAAAATTAGTTTCCATCGCCGATCATTCAACATCAAAACACAACTAAACTTATATTTGTAAGCTGTAAACAAACGACCGGACCGGCTTAGGGACATTTGCATGCATTCGTAAGAAAATGACAGGATGAATCGGCTATTTTATTAGTGCGTGTATGTTTATGTGCAGTCTGCATCGAAAAAGTCTCCAAAACGCATCCAAGAAAAGAACAAACAAGGCGAAGACATGAAATCGGCGGCGGCGGCGGCGGCGGTGGCGGCATCTGAAGATGAAAAGGGTGCTGCGGAGGGGGCCGAGGCGACCGCTGAATGCGGAACAGGCGCCGACGATCACGTGCTGTGGCTGAACACGCTCATCGGAAGAGTGCTGTTCGATTGCATCAGAGACGAACGGTTCATACAAAAGGTAAAGGAACGTATCCAGCGAAAACTATCGACTATTAAACTGCCGAACTTTATCGAGGAGTTGTTGATTCCGGAATTGTCGCTGGGGAAAACGTCGCCGATCATCCTGAAGGCCGGGAAGCCGGTATTGGACGAACGAGGCGTTTGGATAGATCTGGACGTCGACTATGAGGGAGACGTTCTGCTCACGCTACAAACCAAATTGAACTTGATGAGGCTGAAAAATCCACAGCCGTACGGTACGTTGCTAATATTATCAAACGCCGCACTCTTTTCCTAACATACAAATTATGCAATGTATGCATAGCATATTCTAACAAAGATACCGATTTTTCATGTACGCAATTATACACTGTCTATGCAATAATAAGAATTTATAGCGAGTATTTTATGTGTCAGAAAAATCTGTGAAGAAAGTGCGTTCGGCGATCTACCATTCGGATGTGGACGATTCGGCGGAGAGCAGCTCCGACGAAGATGCGAGCGTGCACGAGATTCCGAACTTACCGCAAGGGGGCGAAACGGTCGCCGGCGGAGGAGGAGGAGGAGGAGGAGGCGCAGGCAGCCCGCCTATCGTGACGCCATCTGGCGGCAGCGGAGGGAAAAAGTTCATCAAGATGGTCGACAGGCTGACAGAGTCGAAATTCTTCCAGGCGGCCACAGATAATAGATATATCAAGAAGGCGATGGAAGGTGAGCTACATTTTTAATTAATATCTCCTGTTTTATTACCAAGGATTAGGATTATCTATATATATTACTCATAATTAAGTTGCCTTAATTCGTCAGGAGAATCCTTGAAATTCTTTGGGATGAAGGCAAAGTTTTGCAAAAGTATACTCTTTTAACTTATATATTTTCGCATTACCTAACACGGTAGAAGTAGTAGTAGTAGTAACAGTACTCGTTTTAATTACCTATTGTTGCTACTTTCGAAAATTTGTTCCAGCTCCCGATGATGATGGCACAGACCGTCGACGAAAGCTTGAGTTTAAGTTAAAAGAGTGTACTTTTGCAAAACTTTGCCTTCATCTCAAAGAATTTCAAGGATATACATATCTATATACGTTTGTGTGTATGTGTGTGTAGGTGTTTCTACTGAACTGCGTTTGACAGTCGAAGTGAAATCTGTGAGCGGCACAATAGTGCTGAACATACCCCCACCTCCGAGCGATCGCGTTTGGGTTGGGTTCCGACCGTTGCCGGAAATCGTCCTGTCGGCGAGACCGATCGTCGGAGAAAGGAACATCAGCTACTTCATGGTCACCAGTTGGATCGAGAAGAAACTGTTGCAGGAGTTCCAGGTATAACTTGTCTCATTTTACTTCAGTCGCCTACTGGCGAGAAATTTCGAAAATGGCATATTCGGTTTTTTGGATGTTACGTGGCGTGTGCAGCACGAAAAACTATATCGCGCTCTGTCTGTCTGTCTATCTGTCTGTCCGCTCGCTAATCATCATGAGAAGTACCGCTCCAAGGAGGAAAAAGGTTTGCAGTTTTTGAAAGCCGGTCCGTGGCGGCGCAGAAAAACGCAAAAATGAAAAAATGCTTATACTTCGTTTCACTTTCAGACGCTTCTGATCATTTCCTGAAACATTTTTAGCGGTTATAAGTTGCAGAGGGTGGGGAATACCTCAGTTTTAAGACGTTGATACCAGTTATTCTACGCACTTATTAAGACAGTTCACTCATCATAGATGTCTCTTAAAACTGAAAATATCTCGGACAGTCACTTGTCGATACGTGCGCCATAGTCGAGCGTCTGTAAAAGTCAATAATAAATATCGTCATATACGCGGGATTAGTCATAGCGACGATCATGTGCGCCCGCTGAAATTTCTCTCAGGGGGAGAGAGATGGTCATTTAATTTTCTGCTGTACATGTTCGTAGCTTACTTTTTTCTTGGAAGGGCTAACTGATGAGAGCGTTGCTCAAGAAAGAGCGGAGCCAACTTATTCGACGCCATTTTTTTTATTGGCAAGTGTCTTTTTTATTTTCAGAAAATCCTGGTCGTACCGAACATGGAAGATTTCATAATACCTGTGATGAATCCAAAACTACCAGAGTAAAAAACTTGTTATACAATATTTGTATATTGAAGTATTTTCCACTAATGAATAAAGAGTGATGACTGATTGTGGTACGGAAAAAACTGTGTAACGAGATCTAGTCTGACAGAATGAAGGGTTGACAATTTTAGCTGTATGTTAGTATCAGTCGTTATTGTTGTGCATTTTGCATTTACATTTGTTATTATTTATATTCTAGTTTATATACTACTGTTCGAAAAATAGAAGGAGATATTATAGAAGGTGATTCCTTGTTAAAACATTTATATTAACATGGGTCCGGAAATGCAGTGATTTTTTAAATAATATCTCAAAAAATACCTACTCGATTCTGTTGAAATTTGGCAGTATTATTTTTTGTATTAAAAGGTTTATATAGCCTTAGATAGGTTAACATTATTAGCGGCGACCCGGGGGGCACCTTAGTGAATGTTTTTGTAACTTTAATATTTGTTGTTTAATTAAGCATCTAAAAATACAAATTTGCCTCTTGTATTTTTTCGTACCTCACTTCGTTTTCAAACAAACAAAATTGGTTTATTAATGTTTGCACAAAAAAATATGCCTGCACAGCTGTTCTAGAAAAAAATATTAATTAATTTTATTTGCGAAATTTCTTCAAGTTTAATTTTTTTTAATTTAGCACCCTGTATATAAACTTTTTTCATTACTTTTAACAAGGAATCACCCTCTAAAATATCTATCACATTTTTCGAACACCCTGTATAACGCCAGGGCTATGCTCAGCAAAATATGCTCTCCATGTTTCTATCATGCGTAATGATTTGCTGTGTTTACCGATTTTTATGTTAAATCAGACCATGGAGGAATTATCGAAGAAATCCATATCTGAATCCAAAAAACACTTCCTGATTAATGTAAAACGCATCCACATTTTTTAGGTGAAATTTTTATTTTGTCAAGTCGCCGTTTAACAATTTTTATTTTGTTTTTAATTGCTTCAGCTATTGATTTGATATTTAAATTTCTATATATAGTATATACATATATGCAAACAAACAATAAAAAAAATTAAATAAGTGATCCAATTGAGAAAATTAATATCGACCTATCCTGGATGCGATACATTACTCCTACTCATTTACCTTTAGCTGGGTAATTAATTTTCATCACAAAAGTTTACAAACGCATTTTTCTAAAGTTCCATCCCTGCAAAGCTTTCAACTGCAGAATACATTTATTTCACTTTTGAAAGATTGAAATTCTTGTCTACCTAGGTAACATATTTTGTATTTTTCCAAATGAATTTTTATGTAAACAGAAAAAACTCGTACGGATTCAAACCTTCCTATAGGTTAAAATTGATAAAACCAATATACCTAAACGTTGAACTGAAATAGCAAAATTCTACCTGCTCCGAGGTCTACGTGACAAAGATTGTATTTATTTTTAAATATTTTTATTACATGTACATATCTAGCAAACATAAGTTGTTCTTGTTGGTAATACTATATATATATTAATGTAGTTTTCTTTGTTCAACATTCATATAGTCCATAAAACTTGGTTTTTAATGTGTCTAGCAGTTTATTTGTGTAGTATACTGTATATTTTTCGAAAACAAACGGACCAATTCTAGCAGTTTAACGCATGACTAGCTTGAAATGTACGCAACAGTTTCTGGAATTCAAAATAAATATGATGTTAATGAAGTTATCATCAGTATTTAAGAGATTGAATAAAAACCCTAGTTGTATTTTTATGAGGCAATATGTTTTGTTTGTAGCATTATTTGTGACGCCTATGCCCTAAAAACACTGACAATTTTTAAAAAGTTATTAGGCGAATGTGAGAGGATCAGTATTTACTGTGTGCTGCGTTCAATTAGTATTTGTTGATTATTCCGTTAGTGTCAATTGATCCTTACGTAACCATATACATAAATTAATAATTATCGACGTCCAGGCTACATGGCCAATAAATATCACATTCCACGATAAATACAGACAGGTCGCAGAAAAATACTGATCGTGCGATATTCGCCTTTGTCATTAATTTGGTTGCACATTAATACGACTCGACACGGCCGTGTTTTCTACACATAACTGTGATAAAAAGTCCCCAGCATGTATATATGTTTACAGTTTCCTTTGCTGTTATTATGCGCAGGCGGTAATATACCTTCTTGACATTGCAAAAACTTTTGATGCAATCGTCGGCGGACAATCTCCACCCCATACATACATACATACATAGTACGACAGTATTCAAAGGTTTTTGTGATCAATACAATGATATGATCAAATTAATGCGGAAATGTGTATTTAGATGTCTTGTGTTTCCAAATAAATGGAGAGATGTTCTTAATTTATGTATATTATCTGTTAACGTTAATATAATACAAAATGGAATTCATACGAGTCTTGGTCTAAATTGAGTGATTTTACACCAAAATGGGTTTTAATATCACTTTGTTGTTTATAGCCCTACATCCAGGAATGATGATGCTTACTTTGTTTTTGCAAATACTTCTATGAGATGATGTGGAGAGTTCAGCCGTAATTCCCACTTGAAAATATATTGTTAGGTTTTCTTAATTGTAAAATAGTCTATCGATTCCTGACAAGAGTCTGAAAAACCATTTTTATTAAGCAAATTTTCCAAACACCAAGTGGAAAATGACACTGACGCTAATGGATAATGGCATGGGAATAGCGTACGTTCACAGTTACACGTTGTGATGGGCTTGCCTATTTTGATTTGGTTTAGATTAACTGTATCTTTTTTTTTTTGATTGGGTTAACTTCAAATTTTTCATCACTACAATACCATAAATTTAGCGCCATCTATGCACAAAGAGCTTAAGCTACCTTATAGTAAGTTAGAAATCTTTACAATGAATATAATGAAATTAGCTAGAATTAATTATCACTAGATGGCACTCGATTGGCTTAGGAATTTATGAAATAATTGACTAGTGAACATAAATTTGAAATACAAGCTTTATTTTTGTAAATAAGATGAAGCAAATTTCTAAAATACGTAATTGATATCTCACATTGATCCTAACGTTGCAATATTGTGATGGCAATGACTGACATAAAGGATCTTTCAGAGAAACTTTTTAGTGGCCCTTTTAGGAGTGAGAGTTCGGCTTAAGGAACCTGTGGCAGAGGAAAATTTAGACCATAATGCGGCTAGTAGTGAAACATTGGGTCTGACCTTCAGTACATAAGTGCGTACTGTGCATCTCACATCCCCCTCAGAGCATACTCCTACCTACTATTGCTCCTTAAAAAAACTTCCTGCCGTAATGGTTGATAGTGTAATTCCGGATATCTGTTTTACGTCTAAAGAAATACACCATAAATGTTTGAGGAAATTGTAAAGGGAGTTTAATTGGTAAAACGTGTGAAAAGGGTTACTGGACTAGACAGTGGATTGTGCGAGAAAAACATAGGTGTGCGTCTACTTTTTTATTGAAATGGAATGGTTTGTGATTCATATCGGCAAGGTAAACACGTGTATTTTGCTATTAAATACTCTTTGAATTAACCCTGTATATTGCTCAATAAACTAGTAGTGATGGCCGGAAAACAGGTGTTTAAGAATAATCAATTAGAAATTCTTAAAAAACTGCTTGATCAATATATTCCAACTTTATTGCCGTTATTTAGAAATATGAATTCTACGGATATGGAAAATTTCAAGTAGTTGGGTGAAGTTATCATCGCATTACCGACAAGTGCCAAAACCTGCATTTTGCCTCGTTTTTCTGCCATAGTATTTTTGTTATTAGTCGGATCATTTTACGTGTACTTTCATTTTCTAGGTATCATAAACCCGTAAAAATATTATATGAAAAATTTTTCCATTCCTGTCAACACTTTCTATTGAATCCAAAAAAACACGTTTTCTCGTTCTTTGTTGTGAAGTAAAAAGTTTTTCCACAAAAAATGGTGTATCCATTTTATGCGTCCATGTTTCAAATACACCCTTGAATAACTTGCAGCAATAAGTCCAGACTTTACAATTAAGGAATCACTCGATCCCCCCCCCCCTTTCCATTTAAGATTTTAGGGTGTCACCCACGCCCAGGGGGCTGCACATGTTAACGTGATTTTTTGCCAAACTTGTGCCCCCCTCGAAAACAAAATCGACGGGTCTGAGCGTTTTTCAAAAAAAAAACCTGAGCTGTCAGTAAATGCGTCTGTTTCGTTTTCGATGCGCCACCCTGTATATATATTATCTGCTTATGTTATGTACACAACAATTTGGAACTATACAAAACGCACACCGATGTACATAGTAACAATAGACATAACATGCATAAGCTGGATATTCCTACTAAACTACTAAAAAATTCACTTCTATAATGTTCTTCCTGCTGCACTCAGAATGTCTGGCACCGCCTCATTTAGGTATAGAATTAAAGCGTACCTTATCGAGATGACGGAAACTCCCCTATGTACCGGTCCAAAACACAGGTCAATCCCACAGCGACTATCTCAGGAGGACATATTGTTAAGTCAAAAAAAAGATTATTTTGAATATAAAAAGTTGTATGTTGTTATAAATTAAGAAAAGAAATGTTCCATATAGATATTGTAATGTTTTGTTTGATAACTTCCATCAGTTTCCTTTTTTCCGGACGTGCAAAATACTTTTGAACGGTAGTGTATAACGCTACTCGTTCAAGATAACATTTATAGAAAAACAAAGTCTATAAACTAAAACGCAACTAGTTTATTATGCTCTATAAATATATATATACACACACATGTGAGACATGTTACAATAATACAATAATATTGTTTTTCACCTGAAAGAAATAAAATATTTCTGTAAAACAAATTGGCAGTAACTTCATGCTAAAACATATAAAATTACTGTTCACCATATGTACGGAACATAGAATAAAAGAAAGTAAAAACAGAGCATCGTACTCTTATTTCGAATACTGCATTGAAAGTAACTTTGAAATTGTATAAATTTTGGCAAGTCTGCGTGTTAAAATGTCTGGTCAAGTCGAGAGTAAAACATAATAGGAATCATTACGTGTACCTAACATAATAATAATTATTTACAGAATTGTTAACCAAAATTTACCCTGCCTTACCGAGATTTCAAAAAAAAAACATATCTGACAACTTCTGAATCAAATAGTGTTCTGAGCGCGTCGAATATTCAAATAACGATACAAAATTTTAAAATCAGAACGCAATTAGCGTCGTCCATATTTTGTAAATCCGTATATACAGGGTGATCCACAAGTGATCAAAAATGAAACATCATACCGCATTTTAAGGGGGGTCTTCTATGTATCAGTTTTTCGTCGGAGGCTTCATTAAAAAGATACGGGGTGTTGGAGTTTAAAAATAAAAAACAATAAACCCGCACATTGGCCTGCGAGGTCTTCTGATTTGGACCCCCTGGATTTCTTTTTGTGGGGCACTTTTAAACAACCGGTGTATGCTGAACAAATTAATACTGTTGATCAGTTATAAGAAAGAATAGATGCGTTTCATCAATTTCAAGCCTCAACAAATTTTGCGGAAATACGTTTTTCTTTATCAAACCAATGGTGGTCTTTTTTGAACGTTTATCGAAATAAAGCTTAGACTATCTAATTTGTTTTTTCCACTCTACACAAGAATGATTATTTTCAGTACTATTTTTATTTGGAAAAATAATGCCACTAATCCCCTGTATCTCCGCCACTGATGCACTCCAACATAAAATGCGCTTCTCTGAATGATGTTTCATTTTTGGTCGCGATTTGTGAATCACCCTGTATACGCCAAACTTATTCTAACTATTTTGTTGCATTTGCATCGTAAAGCAATGGCGCTCTAATCCGCGGGCATATACACCTTCACGTAATATTATTTATTATAAATGTTATATTTACTTACCGACAGCTACCTAATCTATACTAACAGCATATATTTGTATACAGTATACGTGAACGTTGAATAATAGAAAAATAAATTAAATAATCTTCCTTAAACATTAAAGTAACAGTCACAGATAGAAGAACATAATAATAATATTAAAAATAGTAGGAGAGTCGCGAGTACGTTTGCCGGATGCAAGTAGACGACCTTGTGTCAATCATGGCGTTCGGTGGATATTATTTACAAAGCGATATTTATTCATATTCACGCTATGCTCCTTCATAAACATACTCGACATATTTCTTATCACAAATGAGGCAGAAACTAATTACAAAAAATAAGCTTCATTTATATCATACAAGGACTTTGATAAAGTTCACCGCCAAATTAGGATATATAGAGGCGTTCAAAGACGGAATGGGATTTTTTTAAGTGTATTAAAATGACGTTTAATCGTAAATAGGGTTGATACATTATAGGGTGTCCGGTGGCAGAATTCGGATTTAAAAACTAAATAAAAACAAAACTACAAAATGTAAGCATCTATTCCGATAGTTATTATAAAGAAGGATAGTGCGGATATTGTTTTTTAAAAATCGTGTCATCTGAATGTTGAACGTTACGTTGGACACACTCTTGAAATCTGGCCTCAGTATTTCGCGCCGATCGTTGCTTAAGCATTAACCGCGCGAACGATATTTTCTTTAAGAGCTAAGACGCTGGTTGTTTGCTGCTGATCCTGATGCTCGGAATCTCCGCACCCACGAACGAATCGGTTCTTCACTGCTCCGAGCATCATATTTTCGTCGAATATCGTACCGTGAACAAAAATGTCGACGAGCAGTTGCTCACGATTCGATCGCGAGCGGGCGTTGTTCTCCCTTAAGATGACGAATCTAGAGCGGTCCCTTCCCCGCCCCCCTGGTTAATGGGTACGAAAACATTTCATTTTGAAATTCGAATTCTGCCACCCTTAATTAATGTATTAAACTAGTCCTATATGATTAACGTCATAATACGGGAGGAACGAAATTTTAAGAGTGACGTACGCCCTAAAGGTTTCGGCACAAAATTCATTGGCTTTTGAAAACAAAACTTTAATTACCCTACTATCAGTTTACAATTATTTATTTTAAAATGTTCGCTTTTGTGAGAAGAGTAAAGGGGCGAAGCTTTGAATAGTCAAAGCTATATTGTTAACTGCCTTTCCGAATCGCTTCAGTTTGTCCACGAACATCATGGTAATGAGCACGTCATGTTTTCGCTAGATCTAGCATCAAGATACTCAAAACTGGCTTCGATGATACTCCCGAAGACGATAATCACTCTAAACTTGCTGCAAGCTCGCCCAATACAGGATTTTTGGGTTTTGCTGTCTAGAAAGGTGTGTTATTGAGGCTGGGAAGTCCAAGATAAAGAACAATTAAGACGGCGAATTCACGAAAAACCGAGAGAAATCGATCTGAATTCCGTCCAGGACTTCACGAGAGACATTCGTTGAAAATTGCGTCTGGTAGAGCAAATTGGGCCACTCCACGTAATTCGACAGTACAACATTGTGAGTTATAATTTATAACAACTAGTTTGTGTTCAAATAAATTTCTTCATCAAACAATAAATCCGATAAATATTTTGTGCCAAAACTTTTAGGACGAACGTGATGGCGTGATTTCAAAATGCAAAAGGTTTTGTGCCATCAAAAAACCTCACAAGTCATGTTAGACTAATTCGTGTCTTGAACGTAGCAGCTTTTGTTTCGGCGAGCGGCGAACGGAGGCGCGTGCGCGGCTACAAAAGCGGATCTATAGTTGCCGTATTCGTCTTCTTTTTAACGATGTCCTCGTTGTTATTGTTGTTGAGCAGCAGAAGCGTCGGCGCATTGACGGCGTTGGCTCCGTTGACCGCGGTCCTGGCCGTCCCGACGGCGACGGCGTCGACGTGTTCGTAGCGGCACCGCGTCAAGTCGACGCTGCTGCTTTTACGCCTATTGCGATAAAGACAGGCGGCGGCGAAGGCGGTCGCGCAAGCCGCGACACCCGCCAAACAGCACACCAATACTATCGTGTATACGTCGTCTCCGCCATCTGAAACACACAAGTACACGCGTATTATTTTTTACGTACAGGTCAAGTTGCGAGTCGAAGACTCCTCCTGTACGACAGCCACGATACACATTCACCGAAGATAGGATGTTGCGCGTGTGGGTGGAGCTTCGTGACGTCACCCGGAGAGTTGTCGGCTCGTGGTTACCAGCGGCAGGATTGTCGAAACGTTACTGCAGTGCACGTGTATCGTGGTTAATACTATACAGGGTTATCCAAATTAAGTGTCCACCATTGGTAACTTTGTTATTAGTAAAAATACAAAGTTGTTTAAATTAGCAAACTAGTAGCATTTTTAACGCTGGTAAAAATGAGAAATTAAAAAAAAAACAATTGAGAGTCGTTATTTTGATTTTTTTCAGTAAAATAACATTTTTTTAAATGGAAACCCCTGTATATTATATTTTTTTCTGTTAAAGCATCAAATTTTAAACAAAAAAGTTCATAATGACTTTTCCGCTAAAGTCAAAAATAAAGTCAAAATAACGATAAATATTTTTAATTATTTGCAGTATTATAATATTAAGACGGCTATGAAAACAACATGGCGTTCGCGATTTGACAGCATTAAGATAAGCGACAAATTGTTAAACTGGACATACTCGCAACTAGAAGGCTTTGGAAAACAATGATAAAATCAAATAATGTCAAACATTAGTGTAAATACTTGTTTATAAGCTTTATTGTGTCATTAATTTAAAGAAAAATGTTCTCCCATGAAGAAAAGTGTGATATGTTAGAATGCTATTTAGTGTGCAGAAAATCCTCCTTGAGAGCAAGTGAATTATATCCCGCTCGCATTCAACCGTATGAACGATATTTTCTGAGACTTTATCGAAAATTTAGGGGCAACGAAAATGTTTTTGCTAAAACAAGGGCAAAAAAAGAATTCATAATAAGCGAGGCCACGGAAATTGCAGTTATTGGATATTTTGAAGCTTATCGTGAGAATTCAATAGCAGATATTCTCAAGGACTCTAATTTCAGTTATGGTACTGTTCAAAGGATTTTAAAAAAATACAAATTTATTCCGTATAAGTACCGACCAGTTCAAACGCTTTTGGCAGGGGATCCAGAGAGAAGACTTGTTTTTTGCCATTGGTATCTTAGCTTCTGTCGCCAAAATGTAAATAACTTTCGTTACCTTTTATGGACAGATGAATCAAATTTTTCAAATTGTGGAATGTTTAATAGAAAAAAACCACCATTATTGGTCAAGAGAAAATCTTTTGTTAGTACATCCAAGAGGCCCACAAGTCCGTTTCAGTTTCAACGTTTGGTGCGGTATAATTGGTTCAAAAATTGTTGGCCCGTTCTTGTATGAGGGAACCCTAACTGGTGAAAGATATGTGGAATTTATGTCAGAAATTCTGACTAATTTCTTAGACGAATTGGATCTTATAAGTAGACATCATCTGCATTTTCAGCAAGATGGCGCACCTGCCCACAACTCCAGAGGTACTTATCATTTTCTAAGTACTACTTTTAATGATCAGTGGATAGGAACAAATGGCCCAATACAGTGGCCTCCCAGATCACCAGATCTAAACCCAATTGATTACTTCTTGTGGGGTTACTTAAAGAACCAAATTTACAAGCGAAGGTACGATAACCTTGACGCGTTAAAGACTGCAGTTAGGGAAAAGATAACCCAGATAGATGGTAGGACCATACTTAAGACAGTTCGAGCAGTTGAAAAACGTGCCCAAAAATGTATTGAAGAACAAGGTGGTGTTTTTGAGCATCTTCTTTAAAAAAAATTGTTATTGTATTTTGTAAGATTATAAGTTGATGTTGAAAATAAAGTTTGTCGATACAATTTAATTGTTTCAGATTGGAGGCCATAACTTCAACAATTTGTAACCTAGGAGAAAAGTTATTGTAAGCTTTTTTGTTTAAAATTTGATGCTTTAACAGAAAAAAATATAATATACAGGGGTTTCCATTTAAAAAAATGTTATTTTACTGAAAAAAATCAAAATAACGACTCTCAATTGTTTTTTTTTATTTCTCATTTTTACCAGCGTTAAAAATGTTACTAGTTTGCTAATTCAAACAACTTTGTATTTTCACTAATAACAAAGTTACTAATGGTGGACACTTAATTTGGATAACCCTGTATAGTGCGATTTGTTGGTCATTTTTGGTGGGTTTGTGACTTGTTGTATCAGTTATACATACTTTGTATACCATGTGATGTTAGTAAATTGATAAAAATGCGGTGTGCTGTTGTGGGATGTAATTCCGACAGCCAATCTAAACGGAATCGTTGCAAAGACATCAAGTTCCACAGTTTTCCTCAAGACCCAAACTTTAGCAAAAAATGGCTGTATCATACAAAAAGAAAAATCTAAGTCAATGTAAAAAGCGCTAGGGTTTGCTCGAAGCATCTTAATGACAGTGCCTATAAGATCAATTTAAAACATACCCTTTTGGGTTACACCCCTAAAAGATATCGTGTTCTAAAAGACGATGCCATTTCTATGGAAAATTTAGCCAGGTCTCTATCATCACCTGGACCATCTACATCTGTTGATGGGGATAAGCGGAAAAGCGCTTACGAAAAAAGACAAAGGGCTCAACTTATCCCCTAGAGCTTAAGCATTGACCGCTCTGAAAAAGCTAAGAAACTATTTTTTAGGTCAAGGATGTTCTTCCGGATCAAAGGACTAAATGAAAGCTTGAAAAATTGTGGCTTAAACTAAGTCATTTCCATTTATTTTTTCGTATAATGGGTCTTACCAGCTGGCGCAGCATCACCCGCTGTGACCGCCGGTCCCGCAGTCCCGTTTACGCTCGCTATCGATGCAGGGTGCTCTTCTTTCGTTTCCTCCTTTTTGGCGACTGGCACTAGCGTGGTTTTACTTTCGCCCGCCCTGGAAATCATTTCCTTCCAAATCTGGCTCGACAAAGCTTCACTGTCATCGGTGCCACCGCTACTGTTACGGAAATACGGAACAATAAGTACTTTGCCGATTTTAGTAACGTCTGTACATTCACAGAATACTGTAGATTTATAATAAAACTGATAATAAATTAAATGTCTTAACAACCTTAGCACAGCGTTAATCGTGGATGTGCTGCTAGTGGTGGTGGTGGTGGTGGTGGTGCTGGTGGATGACGAATCAAACCGTTGACTGTGTTTGTATTCGTCCAAGATGCGTATCAAGTCCTCCATGGAAATGTTGTACTTCTCCAGGATGCCGTTGGTGTTTTTGTCGTGAATAACCGGCGGAGGTTCGTTGCACATGCACACTTCGCAACCGTGCCTATTTATCTTGTATCCGTTCGTGCAACTTTTGTCGCAATCGGCCAACGGTTGACATTCGACAGATGGTACCGCGACCTGGTCTGCATCAGTGTCACCGTCGCTGCTGTGAATGTGACTCTCTTTCACCTCGCAAAAGTGCGAAATGCACTGCTGTTCGCCATTCCTGAAAATATCATCGAAATCGATCGGCCACCTCGCAACAAGGGTTTTCACCTGGGAATGAGAGATAATAAACTGTAAACTCGTAGAAACCTTTGTCGTTCTAAAAGAGCTTTTAAAAAAAGTAAAATCTCGTATCGGCATTTTTAGTACATCAAAGATAACAAAAATCGTTTTTTGCAAAAATATTGCTACCTGTGCTATTTGAATTCTTCGCGAATATTGTACAGAATGAAATTCTCTACAACTTTTGTTTCAAACATGTTTTCATACCATGAAGCGTTTTTTAGATTCAGGGCGAAGAGTGCGCGGCGCTTAGCACAATGCAAGGTCAACAGTTAGTGCCAATATATAATACGCTTAATATAGAGTTACGCATAATTAGCATTTTTAATCGATGACTGCATTATATTTTTGATACTTTTCATCAATCAAATATGTGCTTATATAAAAATCCGCCGTACCGAAATAAAGAATTGTACTACCACCAAAGTCGTGTATGTTACAAAAAGGCGATGATAGTACGTATCTAGGATATAGCTTCGCAAAAAATTAAGGAGGACTACAGGGTGATTCTGCGCGTAAACCACGTCAAAACTGAAAAAAATCCTGATACCCACACGAAGAATTGTACAAACAAAAGTTGCAGAAGCTCTGTCTAGTATTACATGTTATAGATATATTACTTATGCATCATATGAGTTTGCTGGTAGCAGAATTCTTCGTTTGGGTTCTACAATTTCTTCTTCGATTTTGGGTAATGAACCCTTACGCTGATTTTTCGCAAAGCGTGCTCTCCGCCTTTTAACTGAAACGGTTAATTGTACGAAATAATGTTTGAAACAGAAGTTGTACATAACTGTATTCTCTACAATATTCATAATAAAAGCAAATATTTGCAAAACCGATTTTTGAGACCTTTCACGCGGATACGAGATTTTATGAGACTATTGCGACAATTTTTAGAATTGCAAAATAAAGGTTTCTGTAACTTTACAAATTGTTATCTCTCATTCCGCTCTTCGATGGCTTATACATGGTGTTCCTTGATGATATGCGAATATTTAAGGGTGTGAATCTACATGACAAATTAATGTTAGTCTGCTTTGTAAAATATGGTCCAAAAATGTTTAGTTACAAAAACTCGGGCTGTTGAAGTTTTAGGAAAAAAGATGGAAATTAATTGATATTTTCAGAACCGCTTCAGATATTCCACTGATATTTAGTAGGTAGTGAAAGTTAATAAAGTTGCATATTTTTCAATGCAAACATCATTTTTACGTGATAAAATCCGGACGTCGGACTCAAAGATAGCGTCTTTCTTTTTTATTCTTCATCCCTTTTCGTTCGAAAATTTCGATTTTTTTGAATTACTCGACTACGCGCTACTTTCTGATTTTTCCGGTTTTTTTCCGGGTTCGCGAAACGTTCGGAAGGAAAACGATACCTTTTCGGAAACTAGAAACTCGGCGCTTTACGGACGAGCGAGAGCGGTCGCGGTAGGAGGAAGAAACGCGATCGAGAACGGCCGGTAAAGTCGAAAAAACGGTAGATTTTCGTGCTGTTTGACGTTCACTTTCGATCTCCCCCGAAGATAAAGGAGCTACGAACCTGACGATTTTTGCCCGGACATCGGACTCAAAGATAGCGTCTTTTTTTTTCTTTATCCCTTTTCGTTCGAAAGTTTCGAATTTTTAAAATTGTTCGACTATATGCTACTTTTCGATGCGTGAAAAAGCCACTTTGTTTTCCGGCTCTGTCTTCGCCTATTACTACTATGCGTAAGCGAGTAAAAATTATATAGCTATCGAAAAATAACGATAATGAGCTAAGGAAACGATTCTGGCCGTTAGAATTCGCAAAACGAAAGACCAAAGTCTCCTCATTAATCCGATATACGACACGTTATCCGTTCGCATTTTTACTAAGTGAAGCTGGCCATTTTCAACAATTTTTGTAATCATTTCGTTGGTTTTATTGTTATGTTTATGTTGTCAGTTGTTGTTGTTCCCTACCCCTAGTTAAAGTAATAATTTTGCAAGTTAGAATAGAACGGTTTTTATTTTTTTTACTCAAAAAATGGCGCATTGAAGGAAAGCAACTCAAGAGAGATCATTTGTTTCAAATTGAACGGGGAATTGAAAAATAATTTTTATTTGGCAAAAACCATTGGCGCACCATTTTTTTCTTAAAAAATATCGAAGTCAATACCGGTACGCGCGCCACTGTTAAAACTAAATATTACGTTTGCATTGAAAAATATGCAACTTTATTAACTTTCACTACGTACTAAATATCAGTGAAATATCTGAAGCAGATCTGAAGATATTAATTAATTTCCATTTTTTTTCCTAAAACTTCAACAGCCCAAGGTTTTGTAAGGAAACATTTTTGGACCATAGTTTACAAAGCAGACTAACATTAATTTTTTAAATATTCGCATATCATTAAGGAACACCCTGTATAATCGGACTAAAACACGAAATAACAATATCAATGAAAAGTTACCTGCATATACATTGGGTGCATCCGTCTTCTTTGGTCCAATTTTCTCCATTTGCGTACCATTTCAGATCGACGAAGCACGGTTTTTCCAATTGGTGCATTTTCTCAGAGGAACATCTCGAAAGACCGGATATACAATGACATATCTGAAAAATATATAAATCCTTAGTAATATAGCATTAGTTCGTCCGACCGTAAACGGTCAACCATCGATAGCTGATTCGTGCTATCTGGAACATCTTCGGCATGGTTTAGGCCGGTATCAGGTGGGACAAAGAACAGAAGCTAAGCAATTATCCTCTACCCGTGATATAGAATCTTCAACTATCACCAGAATCGATCATTGCCATAGTGAAAACGGCAAGCTGTCTGTTAAAACTGTATTCCAGTTCGCATTGTCAACCGTTTCGCCACTGTGGATAGAGGATAGTTGCTTCGTTCATTGACCCATGCTCACCAGTTGCGAAAATACACGAAACAGCTGCCTCTGGTTGGCCATCTGAGGTCAGACGCGCGAAAGCTACATTACTAGTTTGTTCAATGGCCAGTAAACCGTATTTGCCATAGCACCAGAATAGGCGGCATCTAGCTTACGGTCCATTCTAATAATAGATGTCACTTTGTGCTGTCGTTTTTACCGATGTAAATCGTTTAAAAAAAAATGTGCAGAATAGAATAAAAGGTTGCCCTCGAACAAGACTTTCTGCGCCGAGTCTATGCATCATCATACCTGTTCATCTTTGGTAGTCCATGTGGCGCCGTTCGGATGCCGCACGTCCCCGACCAGACAGTAGATGGCGCTGCTAGCATCTGCAGCTGCCTTCGCATCCTCACCACCTCCTGACAATAAAGATGGAGGAGGAGGAGGCGGTTCTTCCGCCTCGTCCGCAGCCCGGCATTCGTACAGATCGCAGCAATTTCCCGGAAAACCGCTACCTTTCTTCTTTATTATTACCTGAAATACACATCCCACGAAAGAATAAAAACTGCCCTTTTTTGTACACGCCTCGCAGATTGCAGATTGCTATACCTACATTAACTAAACTAAATTTGCGACTCAGTTGGGAACATGTCTTGTGACTGTAATTGAAAAATAACGAAAAACAACTTTAGAAGTAACGTCCTAAAAGTAGCAATTTTTCACAAATTCTTAAATATGGCGATAACTGAAAAACCGTGTACAATCGAATAAGGACATACACACACACACATATATACAGGGTGGCGCATCGAAAACGAAACAGACGCATTTACTGACAGCTCAGTTTTTTTTTTTTGAAAAACGCTCAGAGCCGTCGATGCGCCACCCTATATATATATATATATATATAAAGAGTAAATTATCATGCGGAGAAAGGTATATAACAAAAATAGGAAAATAATGGGCAAAATCCGCAAAAAGTGGATTTGAGCAGAATAGGATAGGTAACCCGAGCGATACGTATTTCTGCTGGTTGGCTTCATCAAGCCCGAAATGAATGCACATATTTATGCAACTACAAAAGTAGAGACACATGCCCATACATCCGGATACGGGTGTAACCTGAGGAAACAAAGATGGAGAGGAAAAAAAAGACACACGAAGTCCACAACAAGAGCCAACCTACTTCGTGTGTCTCTTCTTTCTTTTTGTTTTTCCTCTCCATCTTTGTTTCCTCAGGTTACACCCGTATCCGGATGTATAGGTATGTGTCTCTACTTTTGTAGTTGCATATGTGCATTCATTTCGGGCCTGATGAAGCCAACCAGCAGAAATACGTATCGCTCGGGTTACCTATCCTATTCTGCTCAAATCCACTTTTTGTGGATTTTGCAAATTATTTTCCTATTTTTGTTATATATATATATATATATATATATATATATATATATATATATATATATATATATAATTGCAAATGACTCCCCCTCTCGGTTGCTCCACGACTTTTGGGACACCATGTATACAATATATAGTTTGATAGATAATTATATTAAATTATACGAGAAAAAAAATAGTTTGTCAGCGTGCCAAACCAAAAAAGAATGTTTCCCTGCAAAATACGATCGTAACAATAGGAGATAGAAGTGCAGATTAGATATCGAAGAACATTATGAAAATATGAGTAAATATTAAATTTGCTAACCGTCTCGTTGTATCCGCAATTGGTGTGGCACGGCAGGCAGACGCAGTGATCTTCGAGCAAATCGGAATCGAGAGCGGTGGATTCGCTATCAGGAGGACAGGGAGTGCAGACGGTCGTCTTGCAGCAACCCCGCTGCACTTGCACAGCCACCGATTTCCGGTTGCACATGTCGGGCAGCCGACATTTCAATTCGTCACATACGCACTCGCCGTTCACCTTAAACGTACGTCGACAAAAGTTACAGAATATACAGGGTGACTTTGAAGTTGAGTCATTAATTTTCAGATAATGATTGTAGAAGGAAGAAAAACCAAAATATGTGTGTAAAAATAAAAAAAAAATTTACCTTGTTTTATAAAGTATCCTCCCGACAAGTATTTCAGTGCGGACCTGTATTTGATCGTGAGGTCCCCTGTGAGGACTTAAGTCACCTGATTCACGAACCCGTTGTACTACATTAACAAAGGCACAGGGGTTGGTTGCACTCGATTGAAAAACCGATCCGCATAAACATGTGCCATTTTTTATTTCGTTTGAGCCACGCAACAGACACTACTATTCACTGACACTGACTGTATACAAATGAATAAAATAATTGTAAAAACATCGTTCCAAATTCTTTCGCTTTTTTGTTTCCGATGCGATGAACCAAACACGAGCACATAATATTATTATTGAGACAGGGCGGTACTCAAACTTCCAAAGGGCTATAACTTTGTTACTTTAATTTTACCAGAAAAATGGTAAAGGAAAAAAACATTTCTTTTGATCAGATCTACTCACTGTTAAAATAAATGACTCAACTTCGAAGTCACCCTGTATATGCACAATGAAAAATATTCAAAGAGGTAAGTAAACTCTATATCCACATACGTACATGACGGTTGGATATTTGGATAAACAGATTTGACCGATTTTATAAAATTGAATAGGCAGCCTATCTATTTATACATTACATAATGTACTTAAACATTTATATTCTTATTATAAAGATCGTTTGACTCCGAATGGATCTCTGGAATGGTTTAACAAGTTGTAGGTCAGTACCGTTGAATATAATATAGAAGCATACCGTATACTTGTCTAACAGAAGTATGAAACATACGAAACTCACGAGTGTTTTATGAGGATCGATACATCGGCAGGTGCGTCCCAGCCGATCGATGATCGCCCCTTTGGCGCATTGGCACCGTCCCTGCAACTTATCTTCCTCTCTTCGGCAACCGACGCATTCGTACCGGGGGCAGCAACGACCGGGGGCGGGCGTCGTCGACGGCGTGCCTTCCATCCCTTCTCCTCCGCCGGTGTCTTCGACCGGCACCAGTTCGAACATGCATTCGGGCGGCGGCGTTGACGGGCAGCTCCGACACACGCAGCCGCCCCAAGGGGCCGGTACGCTGTCCTCGGGGCACGCCTCACCGTCTATCGGTATTGCCGCTGCTGCAAACATACATCAAACACCGCGATCGTTATTAATATGAATTTTGCACCACCGCCACCACACGAGTGATTTCTTTTTTACCTTGCGTATCTGTCGAATTGTGCGACGTTATTGCCGGCAAACGGTTTTCTGACAGCGGCGGAACGGAAGGTTGCGAATGTTCGTTCGGGATCGAAGGAGAAGCGGATACCTCTTTGCCGCCGGATCGGCCGTTCTTCGATGACTCTTCCGAGTTAGATGAACCTGTCGGTACTCCTACAGGATCAGTAAGGTCGAAAGAGGAATTGACGGTCGCTGCAGGTGATGCCAACGCTGACGATCTACTGCTGCTAACGTAAACTGAAAATGAAAAATATCATTTAACTGTTCACTATACAGGGTGGCGCATCGAAAACGAAACAGACGCATTTACTGGCTCAGTGTTTTTTTGGAAAAACGCTCAGACCCGTCGATTTTGTTTTCGAGGGGGACAAAATCACGTTAACACGTGCAGACCCCTGGGCGGGGGTGACACCAACCCTAAAATCTTAAATGGAAAGGGGGGTCGAGTGATACCTCATTTTAAAGGTCTTTCAATTCCCTTTATAAAATACATTAGCTTCAGTTCAGTACTTTTGAAGATTTATTGATTTAAAGCTTAAACTAGACTTTAATAGGTACATCAGATTAGCTTGTACTACATTCAGAAAAAATTTGACTATAAGAATTTACTTAATAAGTAGAAATATTTAATAAATAAATAAAAAAATAAAATTCACCTGGTACAAGAACTTAATGAAGACGATTTTGATCGGCGATTACAATTTTGTGAAAATATGAATGAACGAATTATATACGATGAACATTTTCTATTCAACACTTGCTTTTCCGACGAACGTTCCTTTTTCTTAAATGGCGTAGTAAATCGTCATAACTGCCGATATTGGTCCGATTCTAATCCCAGATTTTATCATGAAGTTCATACACAGCAGCCACAAAAATTAAATGTTTGGGCTGGTATTTTTGGCGATCATTTAGTTGGTCCTTTTTTCTTACCTGGCAATTTGACCGGTGAAATGTATTTGGAATTACTGGAAGACGCCATAGATCCTGCACTAACAGCCATAATTTAATATCAGAATGATCGGCGGTACATTGCGAATAGGTTGATGTTCCAACAGGATGGTGTCCCACCACATTACGCATTACGTTTTCGACAATATTTAGATCAGACGTTTCCTGATCGATGAATTGGTAGAAGTGGTGCCATTGAATGGCACCCAAAATCGCCAGATTTGTCACCTTTGGATTTCTTTATGTGGGGTCATTTAAAAAGCAAAATCTATGCTACTCAGTCAACATCATTGGAAGACCTGCGACAAAGAATTGTGAACGAGTGCCTTCAAATTACTCCTCAAATATTGCAAAATGTGCGGCAACGTTTTGAGCAAAATCTTTATTATTGCATGGAGAGAGTCATGGGGGCCATTTTCAACAATCACTTGCCTAACGGGTCAGTTCATTCTTCATTTTTAAATTACTTTGCTCTTCAAAACTACTGAACTGAAGCTCATGTATTTTAAATCATTATGAAGGGAATTGAAAGACCCTTAAAATAAGGTATCACTCGACCCCACTTTCCATTTAAGATTTTGGGGGTTGCACGTGTTAACGTGATTTTGTCCCCCTCGAAAACAAAATCGACGGGTCTGAGCGTTTTTCAAAAAAAAAACTGAGCTGCCAATAAATGCGTCTTTCTGCCTTCCAATTTGGAACCGAACTATAGTAAATAGAAAATCTTTGATCGGGCACACTCGCACTCTAGTTACGACTCAATCGTTGGCTATTTGACGTAACCTCGTATCGTCAGTCGTGCCTACGACAATTATTGAAGGAAGCCTTTAAGACCCTCTTGATTTTCATAGTTTTGTACTGTTCCGCGTCAGCACTATATTTTGAGGTTATGTTACAAATATCTATTCGCCTCAAGTTGTTCATGCTTTTGATTTATATCATCTGTTACATCAGCCTGAAACTCCTTACGACTCAAAAAGAAATCATAACCTCACAATAAACGGTGACGCTAATACGGAACAGTAGAAATCTAGAAATGATCAACCTTTCTGAAACAGAGAAAATACTATGAAAATCAGGGAGGCCGTAAAGGCGTCCTACAATTGTAGCGACGACTGACGATACGGCTCTGAAAATCTCGAAAAATTAAAATTTCATAGAAGCATTACATAAAAGTCCAACTTCTATCACATTAATAAAAACAAAATGTTTTGACTAATTATCAATTAACAATGCACCTGCTGAAAAACTGGACCTTGGACCAGCTTATCGGTTGCCGGCGACCACAGCGGAATCCGGATAATTATTTGAAATAAAAAAACATAAGTTTGTGATCAAGGCGAATTACGTCAGTATGATGATAGCGAGCCGTACGTAATAATAATGCTTCAATAAATATTTTGATAAAAGGATAATCGTACGTAAGATAAAAATATAATGCGCATTTTTTCGTGACAACGGCAATGTCGACGTTTGAATTTCAGAAAGATCAGTGAACTGATCAGCTCAGCAAGTGTGAGCGAGCGTGTACTCTCGACAACATTTTTATATAAATCAGGTATTACGATATATTACGATACGAGCCACGCTCGACTTATAATATGCCGCCACCGCCGCCTGCTGATAAGGAAATACTTGGAATTCCACGAATTTAATATATTTATGGAAACTGATGACAATTGTACACTTGCATGTTATTATACATGTATTTTTAGTAGATGAACACAATATAAAAGAATTTTGTTTGTTGGTTACGTGACGTGGACCTAACGGTTAATACAATGGAAACAAAATTTCTGTGTGCGCGTACAATTCGACTGTCAAAAATTATTTAAAAACAATTAAATCGATGAATGGATAATAATCCGAATATTAAAAAATGATGAAAATGTTAGAATAACCAAATAAGAGGTTTTATTCATGAAGATAGTAATGTGTCATTACGAATTAAACACATATTTACATGATTGAAATAATACAGGTTCACGTGCAATTAGTGGCGATTACCTGTGATAATTATCAATATATGAGCACGCACGTATTGTAATTTCAGGCGCAAAGTGACTTACGTGTCACTAATAATAATCATTACAAGACATTACATGTTATTACCGCGGCAAATTGATTATTGTATTATATATTGTTTCAGCGCTGTTTTGAATATTCAATCAACACATTCACTTCTAAACAATTTATTTGTTAGGTGTATCGGAATGTTTTACCTCGCATATCGCCAAAAAGAAAAAAAATCTTTTCTCGACGCATTATCACAACATTGATGACCACAAGGATAAATGTTTCTCTGTACTGGACCGAGGTTATTTGTGTTTAAAGTGCAACTCCTATCAATACACAGTCGATACTAAAGATTTGATAAGTTCAAAATAA